TGGAAAGAGGCCAAGGTCCATGTTTACTGTTAAGGAGCTTGGATCTCTCTCATGGTCCAAAAGAAAAGCATTAATGAATATAAAACAGATGTCATCAACCAGAAAAGCCAAATTCTCAAGGGAGTCTTGGAGTCCAAAAGAGCCTCTGATCAGAAATAATGTTCCTATCATTGTGAAGGGAGCTCTGGTAGCATAGTGGCTAAGGCACTTGACTGCTAACCAGAAGGCTGGCAGTTCAAACCCACCAGCCACTCCTTGGAAGGAAGGTTGGGCGATCCTACTTCCGTAGTGATACTGCCTCGGAAACCCAAGGAGGGGTCGCTATGAGTCAGGGCTGACTCAACGGCACATAACAACAACAATAACAACATCACTGTGAAATTAAACAAGCACCTTGATTTGAAGTTTGGCTTAGTATCAACTCCCCTTGTCTCCCCACCCCACAGGATTCCTCACAATTTGTTTTTGTTTCTTTATTCCCAGTTAAAGTAGCTTTGAGGGCTAATCTCTCCTTCCAAGCCTGACATTCAGGACTAAGCGAGAACCTGAAGGCCAGATGTTGAAGACTGTTGGAATATCCAGCCTGATCTCTCAGCTCATCACTAGAAATAGGATCAGAGGACAAAGGAAAAGTACTTCATCTGCTCCTCCCAGTGTCCTCTTCATCAATGGTCTATGGTTAAGGGCCCTTTTTTCTTGGACTTAGGGGCACAGGAGAGGGCTTGCTCTGGATTAGACTCATGGGGAGTAGACATTGTGCGGGGACAGTCTGAGACACTCTCAAAAGGGCAGCCTGTTCTGGGTCCCAGGTGAGTGACTCCCTGGTCTTCTCTGCTGCCCCTCACCCCAAGCTGAAACAGAGAGATTGTGATTCCCTGAGACATCTCACATCATAGTTTCCAAATGTTGGGGAAATCTGAGGCATCACAGACACACTCTCTTTGCAATAACATTTACCTCCAAATGAGAACAAAGCATATGCCAGCCAGAGCACGCACATAGGAAACTTCATCCTCGCCTCTACCACCTCAGTGGGCCCGTCAAGTCTGCCCTGCACCCGGGTGCTAAGCTGTCCACTAGCCAGGTGCACCTTTCGGCGGGACGGTGTTAATTCCAGCTGCCGGGCAGAGCTACAGCCCCCTCTGCAGGCACATTGCCCTTTTGCTCAGTCCCTACCTGGAAGCCCTCTCCCCCGCCCCCGGCCCCCCTTTCCATAGACGTGGCTTGTTGCGCTTGAAAAGGGCTGCTGGGAAAGTCCAGCGCCTACCCGGGTGAGTCCTTCAGGTATATAAGGACCAAGGACAGCGATTGGGAGTAGGCGGCGGCGAAGGAAGAAGGAAGGGAAAGAGAAGACAAGTGACAGAGAGGCCGTTAAGCATCCTCGTCCCAGCGCAACTGGAGTCTCCCGAAGAGCAACCTCCCCGCGATAGGTAAGGGCGCAAGGGTGCGGGAGGCGAGTTCTCACCCCGGGGCTCTTTGCCCTGGGTCTCTGGGTACTCTAACCATGGACCCCAGTTCTTTGAAAACTTTCTTTGCTGATTGAGACGGAGAAGTCTGCCGAGCAGAGCAGAGCAGCAGCAATGCTGAGCTCCCCGGACGGTCAGGAGCGACTGCAGTGCTGAAAGGGACACCATCCAGAGGACTTGGCAGCCTGGCCTCCACCCCTCACCTCAGGGACTCGCTGGCTGCAGTCCGGAGAGGTGTCCTGGGGTCTGGGTGGAGAACCAGGGACATTGGGCTGCTAGGACCTCCTGAGACTCCTACTGCGTTCTGGGGAGGTCTTGAGAGAGCAGACACTTTTTGACTCCTCTTCCTCTGATTTATCGGGTAGGCATCAATTCTTCAAAATAAAATATACTCTAGGGCAAATAATGGTGGAAATGAGGCAGGAGAGAAAGGCTGAAAGTCACAACTTCTAGCATTCCACGCTTTTTTTTTACTCAGATTCCTGAATCCTAGTTTCCTACCCACCTTTGCGCATGGAACGTGGCTGCACTATGACAATGACACTATGTTTGTGTCTATTACATGGCAGGACAGTGGAGTCCATCCTCTTCAAGATCCCAGTGGCCTTGAAAGCAGGAGGTGGTACTGGGGGCTGTCCAAGGTTCTGAAACATGGTATCTGGCTTTAGGTGCCTGGCATGGGACCAGAGAGTGGAAGCCTTTTCTGGAGACCCTAGGCTGGGGAGGGGTAGAGCAGCCATTTGAGAGACCCAGGCTCAGGCAATGGGGTTTCCAGTGAAGGAGGGACGTCTGCAGGACATTTGGATCCCCCAACTGACATTTGACTTTCATGTATGGGGGATGGAGGAGGCTTTCACTAAATGACTTGAGTGTAGCCAAGGAAAGTAAAAGTGTGAATTTGTCCTGTCAACTGTGAAGGTATGCACCAATAATGAATAAATAAGTGATGTAATATTCATCTGACATTCATCTGACTTGATGCATGTGCCATGGTGCAAGGACAAAGCTCTATGCCTCCAGTCTTTACAGAAACATAGACAATGTGCAGTTTTGGAGTAACAAGCAAAATGTTTTATTTAGCTCATAGAGCACTCACTCACACACATGGATTTCTAAGAAGTGTAGTTGTTTTGCAGAATTAATGTCAAGATTTAAAAATCATAAATTTTATTTTTCCAAAGTTTACTTACAAGCAAACAAGCAACACAGTCTCTCCATTACTATATTACTTTTTAAGAATGACACACACCTCACCTCACCCATTGCCATCAAGTTGACTCTGACTCATAGAGACCTTTTAGGACTGAGTAGAACTGCCCCATTAGTTTTCCAAGGCTGTAGATCTTTATGGAAGCAGACTGCCTCATTTTTCTCTCATGAAGTGGCTGGTGGGTTCAAACCACCAATCTTTTAGTTAGCAGCCAAATGGTTTAACTACTGCATGACCACAGCTCCTTAAAAATGACACAAGGTGACACTTATGTATTGTAGAAAAATGGAAAATAGACATAAGCAAAAATAAAAGTTGCTTTCAGAACTAACGTTTTAGTAATAGAATGGAACTCTGAGAGGGTTGGGAGTGAGAATGTTGCCATGCTGTACAACACAACCAGTGGGCTGAAGGAGAGGAAAGACTCTTCTTGAGGCTTCTCAGGAGGGCCTAAAATCATGAGGTAAGTTTTCAGAAAACAAGTCATTCTAGAATAGCCAACTTGGAGGACTGAAATATAGTTGATGGGACTGTCAGACCTGTTTAGTTTTACTTCTTTTCTAACAAATTTTATTCTACACTCGCCCATAGTGACATATAACTATCATCTCTCTGCTTTTCCTGTAACATCTGGGCATTTTTCTGACCCAAATATGTTGTGTGGTTTCAGAGCTTTAATCTAAATGGTCTTGTTTGGCAAGTTTCTGGTGTGTACTTGGACTGGAGCATCAGAAGGCTGCAACAGAACCAGCATGTCCCTGTTCACTACTGGATGTCAAAGGCACCTCATTCTTTCCCAGTTGCCCCTTCAGCCAAGGTGCTGTTGGGCTGGCTCACTGGCTGCCAGCGCCATCTAACGGCTGCTCTGAAAATGCTCGAGGCCTGGCAACCATTCTGAAAGGGAGTCCTGAGCTGACCCAATTCTTCGGGAATTGGGTGAGGGTGGGACAGAGAGAAGGAAGTGGCTTCCTGAAGTAGACAATGAGGCCAGGAAAGACTTCTGCTTCCAAAGCCTCTCCTATAAAACAGATTTGGCCCACAGCAGCACAAATGAAAGAGTTTTTAAGGAAAACTTATTTTTAAATGCAAATGATCCTTAGGAGTGACAAGACAAATACCTTAATGGGAATCACTTTTCTCATCCAATTAGGTTTCTTCCCAACAGCTGGCTGAGAAGATATTCTAAAATAAAAAAAAAAAAATGATTGTAAGTTTGTTGGGTGGGGTGATTATAGAAGTGTGGGTCACTTCAGGGAGCTGACCTGTGTGAGGGGAACAGGGTCCTGTAAGACCACTAGATGTGTGGGGAAAGTGTTGGCACAAGGAGGGGCACAATGGTGCTCCCTTCATGAATGCTCCCCTCTTTACTGTGTCCTGACCTCTTGACCTCAGCATCTACCCAAAGATACTTCTTGGAATCTCTGAAAGTTGTGGGTATTCACAATAGGAGGCGGTTCCCTTCTACGTTCTGTCCATCTCCTTCCCTCCACACCTACACCCTTTTGAGAGACCTAGAGAATAAGAGATCTGACATGTGGTGTGTTCAGAAGATAACCCAGGGTTAAAAGAACAGGGGTTTTGAGAGTAATAGGGGTCTGCATTAAAAAAATCTCTTTCTAAAGTTACTGGGGTCTGGGAAATAGTGACCACCTCGATGATTTGTCTGCAGGACAGCAAATCAGATTGGCTGAGGTTTTGACTAAATTGGTCAGAGATTTGATTTGCCCTTACGTAAACCTAACATTCACAGGACATAGAGTTTTAGAGGAATGATAGGATCCTAGAGGAGGAGGGGCAAAGGCCATCTTGAGCAGGAATTTTGGAGTCCTTTGCCTTTCTCAAGTTACTCCCAGCCTGCCCCTTGGATCTGAAGCATTAAAATGAGGACTTCATACAGGTGGTGAAATGGGAAAACTCTGTGCTAGACAGAAAATGTAGCTTTCCCTTGTCACCAACATGCAAGTAATTGTTCCTGCCTGGGCCTCAATTTCCCCCATCTTTTAAATGAGGGGCTGGGTCAAATGATCTCTAAAATGGCTTCCAGCCTTAACTTCATAGAGGTCTGATTTCACAGGGGCTAGAGAAAAGGGTTGCCTGTAGTTTACCCAAGTCCTACTCCCCTCCTTCCTACAACTCACACCACTACCCTGCACACCTCCCATTCCCTCAGCACTGCTCCTGTCCTCAAAAAGCCTTGAGCTCCACAAGTTAGTGTGTTGATGTTGGCTTGCAGTCCTTCCTGGTGAGTGGCCAACATTGTTCTGCTCCTTGCAGGGGTCTCACCAATCTTGTTTGTCTCTGCAGAGCTGCAGCCTGCCTGCAAGATGCCACGATCCTGCTGCAGCCGCTCAGGGGCCCTGCTGCTGGCCTTGTTGCTTCAGGCCTCCATGGAAGTGCATGGCTGGTGCCTGGAGAGCAGCCAGTGTCAGGACCTCACCACGGAAAGCAACCTGCTGGTACGTTGGCCATGGCTGCCATCTTGGTTTGGGCATCAGATGACTCTGGGACTGGAGTTGGGAAAACTCAAAAGAAAAGGGTGTGGGGAAGGGGAAATTCATTCCCAGTGACAGAAGTTCTCTCCCAGGGCAGGGGCAGATGTCTGGGGTGAAGTCATAATCAGGTCAATCTGGGGAAGAAGGAGCTTCAGGGAGATGGGTCTGGTCATGGAGACTCCACTCCATTTAAGTTATTTAGGGATCCTGCCTCTCTAACATTATTCCCTCAATTGGTCCTATATTTTCAATCTTTTAGCCCCAAAGTGTTCCTTTTTTGAATCACTTTTTATCATTGTCCTCTCTACTTCCTGTCCTTTTCCTTTTCTCTGTATTACCAGTTATAAAAGGATCCCAGCTCAGCTATTAAGTGAAAAGTTGGCGGTTTGAACCCATTATCTGCTCCGTGGAGAAAGATGTAGTAGTTTGCTTCTGTAAAGATTTACAACCTTAGAAGCCTTGTGGGGCAATTCTACTCTGTCCTATAGGGTCATTATGTCAGAATCAACTTGACAGCAATCAATTTGGTTTTGGTTTAGCAGTTACAAAGCCATCTCAACAGTTCCCTAAATCAATTCTAGAAGGAGGAGGAGAAACCAAGGTACCATTTTCCTCTAACTGGTACCAAATGCCTTGTGTTTCTTCTGGAAGGCTGGCCTTCTGCCAACTTCATCTGTAGCCTTTCCAGGAGCACATATAAACCCATTGACCCAGGCTGGAGCTCCCTCTAGGTCACACAGTGTCTATGTATGTGCATTTGTACTGTTCAAGGTCATACATGAGAAATGATACTCCTAAAAGACAGACTGCAGGTGTTAGTGACTGAGTTTCCATCCTGCTACCAGTACCTGGCAGGTGAGAGTGAAAATCATGTCATTACATTCTGTGGTTTGCAATGGAGAAGTAAAGGTGAAGGAAGAGACTTCCCCAGGCACAGACTAGGTTTCATGTGGAATAGAAAACATAGAGAGAGAAAGAAAAAAACAAGAGAGAGAGAGAGAGGGTTCTATGAGTTCCTACTCTGCAGTCCCAAAGTAATGGAAAACTCAAGGCTGCCCCTAAAGTTAATTTTCTAAAACAAATACATACCACAGTTGAGCCCTTTAGGGAAAGGGACTAGAGACATAGGCTCTATGACTGTGTAATGGAAGTAACCCTAGCTTTCCTCCCCTCCCTCTAGTCAGAATGACAGGGAAGTGAGTTCCCACCCCAAAGCTCAGTGATTGGGGAAAGTACAGGGGAAATCAATTCAGTAGATTTGAAAGAACAGGAGAAAGTGCCAGGTGGATGCAGGCAAGTTTTGAGCTGTGGAACAGGGATAGGGCTGGGTTAGGGAAGGAGGTAGGTTTGCAGGTTACTGGAACAAGGCTGAGGCATTATTGAAAATACAGGCCTTAGTAGCCACATTTCTACCACCTGGAGACGTACTTTCCCCAAATTTCTGCACAATATCTCTCCCAGACTTTAACTATATTTATTTATTAAATATTTATTGAGTGCTAAGCTACACTGGGCAATCTACTCCCGTAGAGATACGACCTCAGAAACCCAAGGAGGGGTCGCTAAGAGTCGAAATAGACCGGACTGCTGTGAGTTTTCGTTTTTTTTTTTTTTTTTTTTAAACAGCTACTACTCACCAACCGAGAGTGCTGGTGGTGTAATGCCTAAGACATTCGATTGCTAACCAGGAGGCTGGCGGTTCAAACCCACCAGCCACTCCTTGGAAGGAAGGTTGGGTAATCTATTTCCGTAGAGGTACTGCCTTGGAAACCCAAGAAGTCGCTATGAGTCAGATTCGACTGGACGGCATTGCATTGCGTTGCGTTACTCATCTATCGTTTTTTTGAGCAATTCTTATATATCAGGCATATAACAAGGTGTAGACTGCTCACAAAAGCTATAAAAAGATAGACAAGTAAACCAGAGTGGGATGGGGTGTGGTCACTGCTATGCAGAAGTACGCAAGAGGTATAGGCGAAAAAGAGGCGATATTCTTGCTGAGTCTTAGCAGATGTCAGCGGATGCCAACAGGGAAGGGTGGGCACACATTCCCGGTAGCAGGCCTGTTACAGCAAGCCTAGAGACAAAACATGGTGCAGGATGCTCAATGGGTGGCACAAAATGAGGGGCACGGGCACAGGGGCGCAGGCGCAGTTGTGGGGAGCTGAGGCCTGGGCCAAAGTTCCAGGCCGCACTCACGCTCTTGCGTCTCTTCCCCGCCCAGGAGTGCATCCAGGCTTGCAAACTAGACCTGTCGGCCGAAAGGCCCATGTTCACCGGCAACGGCGAAGAGCAACCGCTGACCGAGAACTCCCGGAAGTACGTCATGGGCCACTTCCGCTGGGATAAGTTTGGCCGCCGAAATGGCAGCATCGGCGGCACCACGGGGCAGAAACGTGAAGAGGAGCTTGCAGCGGTCCAAGGCCCCGATTCGCTGGCCGCAGATGGCCCCGGGCCCCGCGAAGATGGCGCTGAGCCGGGCCTGCGCGAGGGAAAGCGCTCCTACTCCATGGAGCACTTCCGCTGGAGCAAGCCTGTAGGCAAGAAGAGGCGCCCAGTGAAGGTGTACCCCAACGGCGCGGAGGACGAGTCCGCCGAGGCCTTCCCCCTCGAGTTCAAGAGGGAGCTGGCCAGGGAGCGGTCCCAGCCGGCGCGCGGCTTGGAAGGCCTGGGCGAGGGCGCGGCGACCCACACCGACCTGGAGTACAGCCTCATGACGGAGGCCGAGGCAGCGGAGGCCGAGAAGAAGGACAAGGGGCCCTATAAGATGGAGCACTTCCGCTGGGGCAGCCCGCCCAAGGACAAGCGCTACGGCGGCTTCATGACTTCTGAGAAAAGCCAGACGCCCCTGGTGACGCTTTTCAAAAACGCCATCATCAAGAACGCCCACAAGAAGGGCCAGTGAGGGTACAGTGGGGCTGCACTGCCTGGAAAGCCGGCCGCAGAGCCCCCCCTCTCCTCGCTGCACCAGCTCCCCTGCCGCCTCCCAGTCTGGGTGTGGTACTCGCTCAGGAGGTGATAGCAGCGGATTTTCAGCACCTTAAACCTTAAAGCTGCCTGTAGTTAGGAAATAAAACTTGTCAAATGTCACATCTGAGTCTGACTTTGAATGTAGACCGGGTGAATGAAATAAAAATACACATGCATCAAAAAAAGAGAGTGGCCTATATTGAAGGAAGGACAGAATAGCTCCATGTGATCTGATTGTAGTTTATTTCTTAAGACATAAAATCATGAAAATGGGAAGAAAAAGTCTACCCCCCCTTTCCCTCCAATACATGGACCTTCAAAGGACCAAATGATTTGGGATGCTGATGGCTGAGGGTGGCTCTGTCCATATCAGAAAAGCAAAGTCTAATTTAAAAATTTTTTTTTCCACATTGGTCATTTACAGGAGAAGTCACTTGACAAGCAAGGACTAGACCTCAGGAAAAGATGAAACCTGTTCTCAAGCAGTAGCTTAAACCACTGACAACATAAAACAGTTCAAAATAGAAGCGAGCTGGAGGAGTATAAATTCCACAGCTGGTAACAGATGTTTACCCTCAGAATCCCCTGTCTTCTGTGCCCAAAGCTGTCCAGAGCCTTTTTGTCATCATGGGACCCAGACAGGAAGAGCTGCCACCCAGGTGTCATCTTATGCATGAGTCTGAGCGTCCAACACAAAAGCCTGGGAAGTAAATCCACAAAGTGGAGCCTGGGCCTTGGACCCTGGACTACCAGAGAGAGGAGCCATGTGGGGAGGGGAGTTGTGTACCCACAGAGAGCTCATCCAGGACAGGGCAGACAGTCTGAGGGAAAGACTTTATTACTGTGTTATTGTCATTGCTGTGTTCATATCGTGGTAATGAAGCAGCCACTACATTCACCCCACTCCCAGGGGCCTTCCAGTCCCTGCCCAGCATGTTGCCTAGAGAAGAAAAGAGGCACCCATCAACACCTCAGGCCCTTGAGGGGGCAGCAACTGGGCTAGCTGGTATTAGAAAAGATGTGAGGCTGCTATATAGACAGAGCTATAAAAAGCCCCATTACGCTGCCCATTTGTGATTTCCTTGGTGTAGAAATCAAACTGACTTTTTTTCCAAATAAAATTTGGAATGTGGGAGGAGTCCAGCACCCATAAATAGGATAGCCATTTTTCCCACACACTTCCACTGGGTGGAAGACAGCACAGCAACAGATGGGCCAAAGGCAAAATTCCTACACTAGTGATCACGGGGACTAGTAATTACAGGGGGTCTCCCTGTTTCCTGTCCAGCTCCAAAAGCCAACCAGATGCAGAGTTGTGGCCCATGACGAGCAGGGCTCTCTGGGATGTGAGGTGGGAAGTTGTGGCCGTGCCTTCCCGGATCACAGTCCTGTCATGCACAGGACTATGTGTGTGACCTCAGGCAGGTCTCTAAACTTCTGCCCCATCCCTTCCAAGCATGAGGGCTATTGTGAGGATTAAGTGAGAAAATGGATGTGATCATCTTTTGTTGTTGAAAAGCTAAGGGTGAGTATTAGTTTGAATTTGGCTGCCCATCCAGATAGTCTCTCTTTCAAATACATGTCTCATCTTCACAGATGCACATCTCCATGGAGACATACACTTCGATATATAAATACATACACAGATGCAGACAAACCCATGCTTCTTCTCGTCCCTCAGGCCCAAGCCTTGAGGTCCCCAGGGCTCTCCTTTCCCCCTTGCTGTGCCTGCACTCCTCCCACGTGTGTTGTGCAACTTCAGCCCTTCTCTCCACTCTCCATGCTCCCTGCTCAGGCCTCGACTATCACTGCAGCTCCCTAACTGTCCGATCTTGTCCCCAGTCACTTTCTTCCCCAACCCATTGTACACAAATTCTTTACATTAATGCATATGAAACCTTGCTTTTCCCACAACACTTCCTGGCTCAAGAGCCAAATAGGGCCTCCTGCCAACTTTCCATCAATTCCAAACTATTGGGCATAGCATGCAGGACCCTTGTTGTTCTGTTTACCCAGTGCCGCTCTGACAAGAATATACCACAAATGGGATGGCCTTAACAAAAACAGGAGTTTATTCTCTTACAGTTTGGAGGGTTTAAGTCCAAGTTCAAAGTGCCAGGCTCTAGGGGCTGTGTGAAAGCCCTTCCACCTTGGGCTTTAGCTTTGCCTCTTGCTCCCGGCCCATTGAAGCTACAGGCATCTTTTCACTCAGGCAGCAACTGGCTGCCGAAGCTAACAAGCCCAAGGTTGACAAATAAAATGGCATGGTCCCGACGTTACCAAACCACATGGCAGGCCATTAATTCAAGTCCATTGTATGTCCCACAGTCAACAGAGCATGGCAGGCTGTTGATCAATGACATGGCAACATGCAGGGTCCAAGCGTGCCATAAGCTAGAGACTATTCCCAAAGCTGCTTTTTATATATGGGAAGCAGACCACATACCCAAAGCAGCTACTCAGCTTCTTGTGGTAGATCCCACCATGGAGTTGATTGCCAGTCTCATCATGGGGAATAACTACCACCAGCTGCCCTATGACTTAACCAGGCCCAGCCAGGCTGACACACAACATACCACCACAATCCACCCCTTGTCAACTTGGCACCTGTACAGATCTTCATTGGGTGGAATCTGTACAGATCTCTCTCACTGGGTGGTTCCAGTCCCCTAGTTTCTCTAAGTGGCGACCGCACCTCCTTGGCCTGGCAGGCCCGTTCCTCTCCCTCTTGGGCATGGCAGCCCTGCCCCCTCACTCTTGGGTAGTGGCTATGGCTCCATCCCACTGGCTCACATGAATGAGCAGCCCCACACTCCAGAACCAAGTTGGTGAAGGCTGGGCTCTTTGAAACCTAGGTGGCTGTGGTCGTTCCACCCCCTAAAGGCCATGGTCCTACCCTTAAGGCTGAGGCAGCTCTGCTTCCATTTCCTTGGTCTCTCTGCTTCTGCCAGTTAATGCCGAAAAAGCACTCAGCTTTCTTGTTCCATGGGCTGGCCAACCTGCTACTCCATTTCATGCTGGTCTCTTTTACCAATTAATGCCCAAAGGCAACCCACTCTGCCAGGAAGCCACCTGCCCAATGGCACCCAGTTTTCTCCTCCGTAGGCTGATAAACCTGTTGCTGTTTAATGCTGGTCTCTGGGCTCTGCTACTGCCATCTTTCATGCTGGTCTCTCTGCTGGTATCTCTCTGCCAGTCTCTTGGCTCTGCTCTTGCTGTCTGTCATGCCCTATGCTGAGGTCTCTCTGCCAGGGTCTTGGGTCAAGGACGCACTCCACTCCTGTATCCACATTTTAGGTATCTGTCAGAGCAGCACCCCACTCTCTCGGTACCAGATGTGTTAGACTGGGTTCTCTAGAGAAACAAGACCAGTAAAACTTATATACAGAGAGAAAGAAAATTTATCTTAGGAAAATGGCTCACACACTTATAGAAGCTGGAAAGTGCAAAGTTCTTGGATCAAATGTCAAACTGGAGGCTCTTCCCATCTCACGCAGCTGCAGGGGCGGAGGAGCTGAAGGTTGGCAGGCAGTATACTGGCTGCTGACTCCAAAGAATGACGAGTCCAAGATCTCCAGGCTGAATGGTGGATTGTTTGCTCATGGACAGTTGTAGGCAGCACAACAGAATCCCGATCCACAGAAGAGTGTCTCTTTTCCCAGGATGTCCATAAATATACTGGAAGCCGGCCACACCCCTAGGGAAACTCCTTTCAATGGACTGGCTGCTCAAAACATATACATCTGATCCCATCATGGGAATTACAACATCACAACTGCCCAAACCACATAGAATTGTGGTCCAGCCAAGCTGACACACAGCTCCAACTGTCACACTTGTCAACAGGATTCACTCCCCTTTCCTGACTGTACTTCCCATGTTTTCCCAGATGAAGGCACTGTCTCACATCTAGTCTCCTCACTGTTCTTCCCCTGCCCTCCTTCACTCTGCCTGGAATGCTCCCATCCCTGCTGCCTTTTATTCCTAATGTTACCCTTTCAACAGGAGCCCAGGCTGAAGTCTCCCTCTACTGGGAAAGTCATGATCTTTTCCACCTGAACTTGATCTATTTCAGTGTTTCTGCACCAGCCTCTGCTCTGGAGGGTCTGCTGTTCACGCTGGATGGCAAATTACTCTGTATTTTATGCTTATCTGTCCTCTCCTCTCAGGGAAATGAGAAGCTCCCCAAGGCCACAAGCCACATGCTTGGCCATAGGCTTGTAGCCACATACATTTACAATTCACAAGAAATTTACAAATATTTATATACAGAGATACACACATATATATTGACTGCAATAGATGTATCTTGGATGGTATCAATCAAAGCCAACTTGGAAACATTTGTATATGGTATTTATATATATATGTCCACCACCCATCTGTCAGTTTGTTGTACTGTGGTGGTTTACAGCTTGCTGTGATGCTGGAAACTATGCCATCAGTACTTCAAATACCAGCAAGTTCAGCCGTGGTGAACAAGTTTTAGCAGAGCTTCTAGACTATGACAGACTAGGAAGAAAGGCCTGGTGATGTACTTCCAAAAATTAGCCAATGAAAACCTTACGGGTCACAACAGAACACCGTCTAATTTGCTTGCTCTGGATGTGTCATCGGGAAGGATTAATCACTGGAGAACATAAATGTTTGGTAAAGCAGAGGACAAGCAAGGGCAAGGGAGACCACTGGTGAGAGAGATTAGCACGATAACAACAACAGTGGACGTGCCGGCAGCTGGGAGGATGAGACAGAATCAGGCAACATTCTGTTCATTTGTACGTATGGGCGCCATGAGTCAGAGTCAGCTTGACAGCAGCTCTGTCTATCTGTCCATCTATGTAATCTGTGTCCTCATGCTTTGATGCTCTGGAAGTTCACAATTAAAGAAGCAATGTAGAGAATGCACTCTGGGAAGTCCTGATGTGAAGGGTGTCA